ATGCATAAACAGTGAGAGGTCATCGGCCCGTAGATTCGGAGAGGTGACGCCCAGGTCCGTATGATATTCGTGAATGGGAAAAACATCTCTACTGTCTCCTGGAAAGGATCCCAGGCCCGTAGCCATTCGGTGATGGGAAGGTTTCCAGTTACTTCCTTGCCGTGTGTGATCGGAAGGTTGTTGTATGTACATAGGAGGTTTGCGATAGGGCCAAGTAGGGAGTTAGACTGTTGGATTCTATGCATACTGAATACTATGGTTATGATGGTTTAAAATGTTATGCGAGATATACTGTGCGATAATGGTGAGCTTGTTGGTTATGCTCACCCCCATTATTTTCTTGTTGTCTTCTCTCTTCCTTTGTTTTAGGTTGAGACGAGCTGGAGGCGGTGGCGTAGGACGAGCGAGATGGTGGTCATATGTGTTGAAAACCTATTCTTCCGTAAACTTGATATTTATTTATTTGCCTTGGATTATTTACTGTTTTCATTTTTTTTTATCTATGTTTGAGTTGGTTGAACTTTGAATAAAAACTAGACCTTTTGAAATGGTTTGAGACTTATGTTTTGGGATTTGTTTATTTTGATAGCTCAAGCATGTGTAGGTTCTTTGGATTGATTGATTGGATGTGTTCAATTGTTGTAGTTAATAAGTAGCGCCCGTTTCTCGATAAGTGTTTTAATTTGGATTTAAAAGAAAAAAAAAATATATAACTCTGATTCTTATTAATTAATTCGACAAATTCTTTAAAATAAAACGGGGCATTACAGTTTGGTATCAGAGCCAGTCTTTCTTTTCTGTAGACTGGTTCATATGTGATTAAGTGTTTAATGACCATTGACCACTCGCTTCGTCTCGCCGCGCCAGCTCAAGGTATGAGTTTTATTGTTTGATTTATTGTTGATATCGTGATTATGTTTTGTTCTTTTATTGGGGCTTAGGAATTTACCCTCCGTTTATTTGGACTTGAACTCTAGTGGTGTAGAGTTAAGTGCCAACTTCAGAAATGTTTGTTGTGAGTTTTCGAGTTGGTGTTACCGAGTGAAGTTCGGTTTATAGAAGTGCTCTCGTTATGAGTTTCTGATTAGTGTCTTCATGTTAAGGCCATTCACAAGCCATCTCGGAAGAGAAGGCTTAAGTAAGTGGAGCAGACAACCGAAGAGATCCCGGGTGAGTGGGTTATTCGGAAGTCTGTGGCTATTGTGTGTATAACTATTAGTCGCGTGTTGAGCCCGGTCAATGGAAACCGGGAGTGGAGTCTATCCACCATTGAATTGTTTCGAACTCTAGTGTTTCGTGGCGAACTCTAGACTTCCTATATTTATTCTTAAATTTTGTTTTGGGTGTTAAACTTTTCCGGCTTGTTCAATGTAGAACTATGGCCACTCGTAACCGCAATGTTCGCAATGCTCGCAACCGTCAGCAAACCCCACCTCCACCTCCTCCCCCTCCTCCTCACCAGCAGGCCCCTCCGGCCTTGGATTTTCCCCGGCTCATTGTCCAGTTTCAGGGCATGCATGCGCCCACTTTCTCGGGGAGTGAGGCTCCCACTGCTGTGCTTGAGTGGATGAAGGAGCTTGATAAGATTTTCGCTGTGCTCCCTCTTCCCGATAGGCAGCGAGTAGCTCTTGCCGCCTTCCAGATGAAGGCAGATGCTTCTGACTGGTGGGTCGACCACTGGTCTCGGAGACCAGAGGCTGAGCTCAATGCCCTGACTTGGGAACAGATGAAGGCAATGGTTCGTAGCAAGTTCCTTCCCCAGAGTTTTTGGGACCGCATGGAGCACGAGTTCTACCATCTTCAGCAGGGCAGTACCAGTGTGGACGACTACATCCGCACTTTCACCCGAATGTGCCTTTTTGCTGGTGATTCTGTGAGCACCGATGAGAAGAAAGCCAACAAGTTTCTGAAAGGGCTGAATCCGAGAATCCGTGAGCTAGTTGGGAGTCACGGACTGTTGTCGTATGCCGACACCATCAGTCGGGCTCA